TTTATATAATTATATCTTGTCTTTTCAGAGTCTCCAAAATACCAAGTCCCATCAGTGAAGGAAGGGAAAGATGGCCAGAAATTGCCTTCCAATCCTGAAGAGGTTGAGGACCTACGACGTGATTTTGCTGCAAATCCACTGATTGCATTCTCTTACAATGAACTAAAGATAATAACAGAGAATTTTAGGCCAGATCATGTGTTGGGTGGAGGAGGATTTGGAAGTGTTTATAAAGGATACGTTTCTGAGGATTTAAGTAAGGGGCTTCAGCCCCTTCAAGTAGTAGTCAAGGTTCATGATGGGGATAATAGTTTTCAGGGCCAYASAGAATGGMTGATACTTTTGTCTTTGGAGATTATTTCTCTATTTTTCTCTACTATTCTTTGGAGATTATTTCTCTTTCAGTTCTGCTAAGAACTTGGTAGGTTTGTAGGTAGAGGTTATATTTCTAGGACAACTCTCTCATCCAAATTTGGTTAAACTCATTGGATACTATTGTAATTTCTGCATTTTCCCTGAAAACTTTTTATGTTTTTCTATTTTTTTTTTGCAAAATTTCTCGTATTTTCATGCATTTTTCTGAAATTTATGCAAAATTATTGTAATTTCTGCAATTTCTGATTTTCATGCAATTTTCTGAAATTTCCTACAAAAATTCTGTAATTTCTATAATTTTATGCAAAATTGTTGTACTTTCTGCATTTTCCTGCAATTTTTGCAATTTCTACAAAATTCCTGATATTTTCATGCATTTTCTGTAAAATTGTTGTAATTTCTGCACTTTCCTGCAAATTTTCTCTATTTTTTTTTTTTATTTTTCTACAAAATTTCTAGTATTTTCATGCATTTTCTGATTTTTGTTTTTGCAAAATTGTTGCAATTTCTGCATTTTCTTGCAAAATGTTTACTTATTTTGCAAGTTCTGCAAATTTCATTTATTTTTCATGCATTTTCTGAAATTTGTACAAATTATTGTAATTTTTGCATTTTACTGCAATTTTTGGAATCCAATTCCGATTTCAGTCTGAACCAAACAACCAAGTGAAATAGACCATTCCGATTCTGATTCCAAGGGAATCCGATTCCAATTCCAATTCCAATCACGAATCAAACGGGCCCTAGATATATAATAACATGAGAAATAAAAATGGGGAAGAAAAAGGAAAAAAAGAAGGATAAGATGAAATGCAAAAGAATTCTCCTTGATTAGATTTTGTTGATTGAGATTTGTGTGAGATACTCCTACAGTAGTGCAAAATCCCATCGTACACATTCTGGTTGCTTCCATATGGTTTCCTCTCAAGAAATGAAAAAAATTCTAATCACTCCTCAGAGGGGGAGTCAAATAGTGCCCGTTTTTTTATGATAATAATCCAAGAGGTTGATAAACACCAGACCCATCCATGATCAACATAACCAATGGCATTTAGGAAGCTTCCAATGAAGGCATTATCAATAGTCAATCTCTTCAAACGAACAAAGCCCTCTCAATCTCCCATTCTATCAAGGACAAAACAAAAGTTCACTTCATCTAGCCTGCCCAACTCCAGAAACTTGATCCCGTGTTCCACCGTGAATCCCAGTAAATAACAACTGACTCAGCGATTTTATAAAAAGATGAAAATGAATAAGCATTGAAAATCCATGCTTATTCAAAGGTAGAACACAACAGACAACACCCCCAAGAAGTTAAACGTTACCCCTCTCCATTTTCTTTAACTGATCGTTTCTTAGCCAAAACCGAAAAATCATCATCCAAACTAACCTCAATTGCATGCATCAATTATTATGAAAGCATTTTGTTTCTTGGCCAAAAACGAGAAGACGTCGTCCAAACCAAAAGCCAATTAATTATATTAGTTCATTAGTCATTCTTCACCTGTATTAATTCATTAATAATTACTGTGGAAGAATTTTATCAAATTACGATAACATGCACGCCCTCCAAAGACATCAAGATGTAAGGGTAAAAGATGGATCAATTCTTGTAACCTCCCATATATTATATTTATCTTAGAAAACAAAATGGGTAGATCTCTATGATACCGTAAAGACAAAGTACGGAAGAGCTGTGGATTCCGCACCTGATTGTACTGATTGATTGGATAATTTGGATTATTAGTCGAATCCAAACAAAATAACAACAAATAGTTCAGTTCAGCCACGGTCCAAATGTACCATCATCCGGAGCTAAAACCGGTTCGGGCATTTTGAACACCGATACATGGCGTTGGATACTTGGGTTGGGACCCACTCGGCTCCTCCATCTTTGAATTCGGAAGAAAAGACAAGTTATTGGCACGGGCGTATTCGGCTCTTCAACGCGGAGGCGGACCCCCGGGATTAAGCAACGCGGAGATCCTTCTTTGTGTTTTTCGGGTCCCACCATACCACAATCTTTTCTTTTCGGTAAACAGGGTCCCACCATTCAGCGATAGCGAAGTTACGCTCAACGCTCGAATTCTTCTTCATTTTTCAGATCAAATCTGCGCCCCACAAACGCCCACACACCGAACGTCCGCCACCTGTCCATTCACACGTAATCAGCATTCCCGCGTACGGGGCTAATGGGAAGGCCGTTAACTTGTCCCGTTAGCCCCAAATCCTCATTTCTACATTCCCGCCCCCTCAACCGATCCCCTTGAACTGGCCGTCCCCTGACCCCGTTCTTCTCCCCTCCAACCGAGTTCTCCTTCTCCGGCACCGGCAACCACTCCGGTGAGGTTCACCTTGACCAGGTATCTGCAAAATTCAGCGCTTTGTCTACTCCCTACCAAGCACGGCGCTGCCGGAATGTCCACTTTCTACTTCTCCGGAATTGCTCTACTCTCCGGGATGGCATATATCTTCCGGTCGTGGCGCGCTCCCTATGTTGCCTCCTCCGTCCCCTCTATCCTCTACCTAGTTGCAGTGATCCCCTTCATCTCTGAGTCACCTCGCTGGTATCTTGTTCGAGGCAAGGTGGACCATGCCATGAAGATCAAAATCCGACGTTTGTTATTTTTTCCCTAAATTATTATTTTTTATCAAAAATTTAATTCAGAAAAAAACGAAAAAAATCTAAATTAATTTTTGGAGTTTTATAGTCCGGTCCACCCCAGAAATCTGAGGTGGAAGGCGGGAGTCTTCTCGCCCAGTCGCTCTCGCAGGTGTTGTTGCTGCTCTGAGCTTCCGTCCCTTTGACTTCAGATATTTATTATTTAAGTTTGGGAAACTGTCCAAAATTCACCGTCATTTTCTATGAATTCTCTTAAATCCATCATTAATTTTTTAAAACATCCAAACGTTAGAACCCCGTTAAAGTTGAATGGCCCAAGTTATCCATATCAACTTAAATGCATATTTTATGACTAAACTGCCCCTGAATAATGAATCAGCAGCCCGTTAAATATTTATTTCAATGGAAATGTCCTCAAACGCCTAATCCTATTTCATATATAAGATTTGTCACTGAGAATCAACCCAGAGTGCATTTTCACCATGGTTAACAAAACTTTCTTTCTCAAAGATGCAGTAGAGATGCGGTGGCTTGGACAGCATTTAGGCTATTCAAAGCAAATGACATTTGAAAGGGATGCCGTATGCTGGAATGCGATGATGATTGGTGGCAGAGGGGAGGGGAGCCATGGCCCCCCATATGCCTTGAAATTCCCTATAATAGTCATTTAAATTTCACATATATTTTGGCGTTTCTACCCAATGTTTTCTATCTCTTGGCCCTCTATCCAAGCTTTCACCCCACCAATAAAAAATCCTACCTCCGCCCCAGATTGTAGGGTTTATTATGCGGGGTGAGATTGCTGCTGCAAGAGAGTTGTTTGTTGTGTGTTGCATTGCATTGATGCCAAACATTCTCAAGCCTTATTCAATTCAACAAAATACCAAAGAAGTGCTTCCGTTCCATCTCATCTCAATTTGTCTAAGCTGTTTTTGATGCTCAAACACCAAGAAATAAGAACCTTTAATGGAGAGAGATATCAAGTTGAAATATGTTTACATTTATTGGAAACATCTATCTTTCTGTTCATAATCCAAATACATACATTTACTGTTCTCATCAAATCGACTCCCATCTCACATACCTAATCGTATGCCGACTCAGCCACAGCTGATATATGACCGTGTGGAAGGCATCGTTCGGCTGCGGGGACGATTTCCAAACAAAATGCTGACTCGCCACCATGGCTAGATTCTTCATTCTCTCGTATCTATCTCTCTTGCACAGTTGCACGTGCGATACAGTTGCTTCTTCATCCCCTCAACCCCTCCTCCCGCCCCCACAAACACCGTGATCTCCGACCATCTCAGCACGTCCATGAACGGAAGATCCAGAATTGGACTCTCCGTAATCACCACCGGCACGCAACCGAATTGCAACGCGTCTCCGATTCCTGAAATATTTCCTCCGTAGAAAAACAAGCAGAACTTACTGCTCCATAGCCTCTCCGCATACAACGCGGGATCAGACGGCTCGGATTCGACTAGGAACTGGGATCGCCACACAATTCGTTCGAGAACGTCGATTCAAACTTCCCATTTCGATCCCCGCTGCCGTTTAGGTTTAAGTAGCCCAGGTACTTGGCAGTTCCATTGCCGGGCTGCGCGTGAAGATGTTGGTCGTTGAGGTGAGGAAAGCTGACATCTTTGTGAGGGATGAACCTACCTTCGGCTGTCGGAAAACACGAGATTTCTACGGAGTTTCTTCGACGATGTTCATGTTGGAGTTCAGGAGAGAATCGTGGAAGAGCGATTCGACTGTGGTACGAAAGGGCAGGGGCTTCTCTGGAGATGGAAAGAGAGAGAGAGGGCAGAGTCGGAGTGAGAGAAATAAAGGGAAATAATGATGGCGTTAAACTATAAGATAGAAAACAAAAATTTTAGCGGCAGAATAAGGGTAAAATAGTAAATTAACTGTCCATTTGAACGTTGGGTTTTGGACAATTTCCCTTTAAGTTTTACGGGGTGGTGACTGCTGAGGCCTGAGAATCGATTAAAAACTTGGTATCAAACTATGAATCATATATAGCAATAAATATTTTCTCCTACTCCTCTATTCCTCTTTCTCTGTTGCTTTAATTAAATAATAATATTTAAGTATTTAAGTGCAGACAATTCAAGTCAGATCGCTGCTCCTCCTCTTCTTCTTCTTCTTTCTGTTTCCCTCTCATCAAAACCCGCAAGTAAACCTTAAAATTCTATGCCCGTCTCCCCTTTTTATCTGGATTTTGCAGAGATAATTCTTCTTCTTTGCCTGCCTCTGGATTCCTAAGCTCAGAACACTATTCCTCTTTGAATCTTCAGTATTTCTTTTTGTAGAACTGAACGGTATTCCTTAAACTTCAATTTCAAGACCTAACACTTTCTTTTTCACAAGCCTTTTTCTCTATTTTTCTTTGTACATCTTGGGATCTCTTTCGGGCACAAGATCCTAGAAGCCTGCGATTCTCCTTTCAAAGGCCTATTCTGTGTAAAGTATACGTATCTGTTCGTGTTATTCCTATCAAAGCTCAAAGAAATCCTTTAGAACATCCCTGTAACTTTTTTCCCCCTCCTCTTTAATGTATTCTCTTTTATCATTTGTATTATTTCTCTCCTTTTTGCTGCTGTTCCTCAATACAGCTTTTTCGGACCCTCGAGCTACACAGGCTGCCCTAGTATGCACCAATAGAACCGCTGCAACGCCCGATCGCCAGACCTTTATTGCCAATTTCTTAGCGGCCATGGATTCCGTTACCCCACAAATTGCTTCGCAGAGATATGCGAGAACTGTTGAGGGGACTGGAAACAATACGGTATATGCATTCGGTGAATGCATGAAGGATCTCTCACAGAACGACTGTAATCTCTGCTTTGCTCAGTGTAAGACCCAGGTCCTCAGGTGCCTTCCGTTTCAAAAAGGAACTCGAGGTGGCAAAATTTTCTACGACGGGTGTTACCTGAGGTACGACGACTACGAATTCTTCGGTGAAGCTTTGAGCCCAGCAGACAGGACTGTTTGTGGGACTACAGGTTTTGGTGGAAAAAGGACGGCCTTCAGGGTGAATGCTCTTGAGCTTGTGAAGAATTTGAGTGCTGAAGCACCAAGAAATGATGGATTTTTTGTGGGTTCCGTGGATCGAGGGAACTCCACCGTTTACGGATTGGCACAGTGCTGGGAGTATTTGAATGCCAGTTCTTGTAGGAGTTGTTTGCAAAGTGCTGTCTCCGAAATCGATTCTTGCCTCCCTAATGTAGAAGGGAGAGCATTGAACGCTGGCTGTTACCTGAGGTATTCAACAGACAAATTTTATAACAATTCAGGGACTGATGCGGTTGGAGGAGATGGAGGTGAGTTGGTTTTTGTTTAATGTTTCATGTGCTTTGATTACATAAGCCTTGTCTTTAATTTTGGGGATCTATCAAACCTAGTAGAATTTATTATTTATATGTTCGTTTAGTTATTTCTTTTGGGTACTTGGTGGCTGGTTCAATTCATGGGGAGTTCTTAGTTTTCTTTCTCTCTTTTTTCCCACTATAAGAGTTCTGCTACTTGTTTCTAATTGAGATTTTGTAGGGTGCATTGGAATTTTCTCCCCTTCCATCATATGGGTTCTAGGGATGTTTGATTGTCAATAGCTTTTAATCGTTGTTATGAAAGATTCTGAGTTTACTATCCTCTGTCTTTAGGGTTTTTTTTTTTAATAGAACTTCTGTGCATTATAGTATTTCTGGATCTCTAAAGTTGATAGTGATGAAATGCGCTTTTTCCATCTATTAATATTTGTGGAAGAGATCTGTGATATTGTGGCATAAAATGCCATACAGATAATTGCTATACAAGAAGTCCTTGCGGCTTAGCTGTTTTATTCAATGATTTTTTTCAATACCACCTTACTTGTGGTAATGATTGTATTGGGTTTACTTCATCTTCTTCTAGATTGAACCACTTCATGAAGAAAAAGTTGATATGATCTACGTTGGACGGAATTCCAATTTCGCAAAATCCTATCATTTGAATTTTGAATTAAGTTGTTCGTAAGTTATTAATAAAAGTCCAACTCTTCTTTCTTGTTACAAGAATTCTATTATGGCTGAGCTTGTTTCCAACATAGCCACTTCTAAAATAGAATCTAAGTTTTGAACACTTGAGTTATCTTTGATCTTTGAAGTGAAACCTCAACTAATCTGCATTTGTGTTCCTTAAATTCTACCTGATATATACACCAATTCTTGTAGTAGATCATCTAATGACAAAATTTTATGGTGATTGTAATTAGGAGTGCGCCATTTGGCCACTATTCTGGCTGTAGTTTCTTCTGTTCTGGCAGTTGTGATGGTTGTTGCAACAGTTATTTTCTTTGGGAAGAGGAAACTTGCAAGGAGTAGGAGAGGTACCACCCTTTGCTTCATATTTTAAAGGTTCCTTTCCTTTTGTTATAGTTTGGAATCCAAATTACATTGATCTTTCATCTGTTTCAGAGAGGAAGCAACTTGGTGCTCTGGTGACTGTTGTAAATAAATCTGAGCTTAACTTCAAATATGAGATTCTTGAAAGGGCCACAAACTATTTTAGCAATTCCAACAAACTGGGTGAAGGAGGATCTGGTTCTGTGTACAAAGTAATTCTGAATTATCCAATTTTCTTCACAGGGAGTTGGTTTTGAATATGCTTTTGACTTAAGGTATTGTCAAACAGGGTATTTTGCCTGATGGGAAGGCTGTTGCTGTAAAGAGACTTTTCTTTAATACAAGACAGTGGGTGGATCAGTTCTTTAATGAAGTGAATTTGATCAGCACTGTACATCACAAAAATCTTGTAAAGCTGTTAGGCTGCAGTATCACTGGTCCGGAGAGTCTTCTTGTTTATGAATATGTTCCTAACCATAGCCTTGCTCAATACCTGTTTGGTATTATTCTCCCAGCAAATCTGTTTTTTTTTTTTTTTTCAGTTAATTATAACTTTATCCTCCTTTTTGAATTGGAACCTATTTGTCTAATGCAGATAAGAGAAATGCTCATCAGCTAACCTGGGATATGAGATATAGTATAATTGTAGGAACAGCTGAGGGTTTGGCTTATCTTCATGAGGAATCAAGGTTGAGGATTATACATAGGGACATCAAATTAAGCAATATATTGCTGGATGAGAACTTCATGGCCAAGATTGCAGATTTTGGACTTGCTAGACTATTCCCTGAAGATAAGACACATATCAGCACTGCCATTGCGGGAACGCTGTAAGTGTATACATTTTATCTTTAATTTGGAGTAGGTTGTTCTCTCTCATATAAAGTGGGAACCACATCATCTTGCTTCCTACTTCACTCCCAAGCAAATAGTCCTCCTCCTACCTCCATTCTCTTGCATATGAGGTGGGACCACACCATTTCACTTCCTATTTTTACTTTTCACAAACAAACAAGACAAAGTTAAATCTCAATGAAAAATAAACCAGAATTTACGCTCAGCCTACTTCCATGTATTTACATTAGTGCAAATGAAATTTTCACTGCAACTGAACGCAGCCTAAATGATAAAACAAATTAACCTATCTAATGTTGACCCCTTGAAGTGCAATGATCCTAGACAAGCTGCTTTGCTTGACATATATATGTCGGGTTCATGAGGAAGGAGGTCTATTCCCTTTATTGTGCCAGACACATAGTGTAAGTGAGGTGGGGCTTGTTTCATGTATACAACAAATTCTAGTATCTTTTCTTGCCACAAACTTTCTGCTTTTCTTTATTTATTGGAGCTTTTCTTGATAATCTTTTTCAATTCAGAAAATCAAATATAGACTGTATATAAATATTGATTTCCTATTATGAGTAAGTTCTGGTCCAATAGATCTCCATGATCTCAAAAATGGTTATTGCAAAAGGAGTTGTCACTGTATATCTCGCCCATAGGGAGCTCCAAGATAAGATTAGCATAGGGATGGGTTGAACTGGACATATGGCCAATTGAAGTATTTCCTGCGTTGGATGGACATTTGGATTGACTATTTCATCCTTCTATATGTCTGAAATGGGATTGCTAGTGCTATTCAGAAACTGTTCTGTTATTTACCAAGATTTTCACACTTATCCTTTCAAAATTTACATTTGTTAGAGGTTACATGGCCCCTGAGTACATTGTCCGTGGCAAATTAACTGAGAAAGCAGATGTTTATAGTTTTGGTGTGCTTGTAATTGAAGTTGTCTGTGGCAAGAGGATTAGTTCCTTCACTCAGGATTCATACAATATTCTTCAGATGGTAATGCTTTTTATTTATTACACACGTATATATATTTTTTTATGGTGCTCTTTTTTTTTCAAAGAATTGGCTTATTCAACAATCAAGCTCTTGTTCAGGTTTGGAACCTTTATGGCTCAGCTAGACTTTATGAAGCTGTTGATCCATCTCTGGCGAGTAGGTTTCAAAAAGAACAGGCATCTCGGCTACTCCAAATTGGTCTACTTTGCACACAAGCTTCCGCTGAATTGCGGCCATCGATGTCAATGGTGGTGAAAATGCTCACTGATAACCATGACATTCCTAAGCCAACACAGCCACCATTTCTCAATTCTAATAATGTTGGTCCCTCTTCCATTTCACCTGGGGCTTACAATTCTCGTCCAGATTCATACAGTCAATCTTCAGGGAATGATATGACAGAAAGTTGGATTGAACCCAGATGAATCATTTCCCTGTTGAACATAACTAATGAGTTGGACCGATCCCAGATCAACACTTGAATTTAACAGTTAAAAACTCAATCCCGACAACATGCTTCCCAAGATCTGCTAGTCTGCATTCTCACTCAAACCAACTCACTGTGCGAAGAAGCATCACGTTCTGATTCTCCCTCTTTGGGTAATTCTCTGTTGCTTGGTTGACTTCTGAACAGGCCAAACGATTCGTAGCTGAGTGTGCCATGTTCCGAATCAGCTGTATAGAGGATAGTTGAAGCATTTACATTTTTAGGAAAAAGAGGTTCCATTTGAATGTGGAATGTCGCCTTAATTTTTTTTTTCAGATTTTAACCATTTTAAATGACATATCTTAGGTGTAACATGTATGTGTGCTCTGTGAAAAGTCTTCCTGATTTGTATTTTTGAATATTTGGTGTAATCTTTTGGCATTCAATAGTTGTGAACTTGAGATTTTAATGTTATATACATTTTTCTAACCCCAAACATTCTCTCAGCGGAGGAGCCGCTACCATGAAATTTTAATTATTGATATAAAGAAAACCTATGGGGGACTTAGATTAATGTTGTATATATACATAACACTTATCAACTTCAGCAAACAGATGGTGTGCTTAGGCTAGAGGGCAGATATCACAAAATGAGTGCGTGCAGATGCATGTGTACCAAAAGGATTAGAAGAAGGGGTGCTCACGATTCGGCTAACTGAGCCATGGCAATTCTTTTTTGAATTGAATCGGTATTATCAGTTTTTGGAAAACTCAAAACTGAAGCTGAACTGAATTGATTGATCAGTTTGATTATTTGGATTTTATAACATTAGAAACATATGTAATATGAAACATATATATATACACACATTTTTCAGTTCCATTTCATTCATTCGGTTTGATTTATTGGTTTTTGATTATCACCATAATTAGAAGAGGATTTGTTGTATAATGAAATTGCAGTTACAGTTGTTGCCCGATCCCTTAATAACGGTTTGACCAATGTTTTAAAAACCAACTCTGAGGTTAAATTGTTTTTGCATTTGGGTCGTGGGTCACTAGTTTGACTGTCCGAGTCGAATGGGTCAGACCATCCCACTTTGTATAAATATGTTTTAGATATGTTATATGTATTTTTGTATTTAATTTATGTTTTTTAATTCAGCTTTTATTTTTTATTTATAAAAAATATTGAAAATTGTAATTTATGGCTTTCCGAAAATTTGCATGCATTGAATGTGCAACATGCAATCTGGTCACTGGGTTGAATGGATCAATGGTCAAACTGATCGGATTGAATGGTTCTTGACGGACTTAATGGTTTTTAACCATCTGACAGGTCTTGACTGAACCAGACCTAAAATCCTGGCTGGTGATGGTTCAAATGGTTCAACCGACCAGGTCAATGCTGAATTGAAAACACTAGGTTTGACACCATTATAGTTTTTCTTTTCATATATCTTCTTTCCACGGTTTCAGCCTTTTCAGTCTAATATTTGCTCTACTTGCCCAGATGGGGCTACATAGTACATTACTCTTCCACTTTGTAAAGGCCCTAGATGCAATGGTTCCCCAACAGAGGTTAAATTTATTATTAAAAGCTGAAGTTTAAGATAAAACCAAGCAAAATCAGTGTTTTTAACCTGCTATTACCTGATTGATTGAACCGCTTGAATCGCTAATTCGTCTTCCGGTAGAGAGTAGAGACTACTACACTTGATTCAATAATGCTTATTTTAAATGCACAACAAACAACAGAACACTTGTAATACAGTATTGTATAGACCACACTTTATCTTACGTCGATGGGATCTGCTGATGCATGAATACATGACCCATCACGAGTGGATACGTCAGTACTTCCTGAGCCATGTTTGTTGACGTGAAACAATCTTTAGTTGGGTCCAAGTTCTTTGAATAGAAAAAAGAAAACATGAAAGAAAATATATGAACGCATTAATTATAGGAAATTCCTAAGAGCTCCTGTTCTTTTGGGCTTTCCTTATCATCAAAGTATGTCGGCCTAAGCCTTAAACACCGACCTGGACCAAAGCTGAAAGCCCCAACCAACCACACTAATAGAAGTTTGTTGGGAACCCAATAAACACTGATGTTACCTCCACCGTCCCGTCTCTATTAATAGCATGTACCGCGATACACACCCCGGCACTTTCGGTTCAACACATATATTAATCATTGACTCTGGATCTGCTGCTCGCTATTCTCAGTGGGCGAGTGATGACACATTGCCAATCGGGCGTGGCTCTCGTTGCTCTAGCAAGCGGGTTATGTATACCGCCCCCGGGCTGTATTAGGTTTGGATTTTATATATTTTTATTGTATTGTATTATTTTAATTTAATTTTATTATTTTATATATAAACAATTGGATATACCAAAATTCGTTTAAAATAAAAATTTAAGTTTTTTTTTTTTTTCAATTTCTGTTTATTTTGTTGATTTATTTTAAAATTTTTATAATATTTTTTATTTTCAAATTTTTATAAAATGTCTCTTATGGCCTGGCCCCAAATTTCTGTCTCGTTTTGAATTAAGTCACATCAAACCAAGCACACTCAATAAATAAAATAATCCTTAAAATAATGGTTCATATTTTCCTTCTTTTATGCAACAACCAAACAACAGGAAATGGATCCCATTCCTATACCTGCATAACGATTCCTACAGATATGGCATCTAGCTCCGGTTTTGGAGCCCATTACCAACGTGGGTCCCCACATTTTGATCTCTCTTTAGGCTATTAGGATTTGAAGAAATTTTTTCTGAAAGTCCTAACCTGAAGGGAGACCGTATCTGCTCACAAAATGCACCTCACACTTTGTATTATTGTTATTCATAGGAATGGGGCTGTGAGTTCCGTGTAAGGTGTGGTTTGTGAGGAGCAGATCCCAATTCGTCCTACGATGAATTCATTCACCAATCATTGAGAACATATATATAAGAAACGAATATAGTCTGTGTGAAGAAGCGAGTGTTTCTCTACCTTTAGTGGTCTGAGGAAGCGAGATTACAATCGTCTGTGTTCCTACAACGAATGAGATGGAAACGTAGAATGGAATAGCAGAAAGAGGAGGACAGAGCATAATGATGGTCAAGGGCACCCAAAATTCCAATGGCCTTTATGCGAAGATCTTGTCTGACAAACCACTTAATGTCTCTGGTGTAATGGGCCAAATAAGAAATACGTGGTGGTGGATCAAACAAGAAATGCAAATCGAAAGAGCTACTGATGATATTCTCTGGATTTCTTTCTCCAGGGAAAAAGACATGAGGAATATATTCTAAGGGAAGAACTATGGAAAATCGAGAAATATCCACTACTTCTCAAAGAGCAGTCAAATGAAGTTTTGGTGACTGAGCTGAAGTTGAACACAATCGCAGTATGGCTTTGAATCCTGAATGTACCTATAGCATACAGAACAAAGGCAACGGGAGACCTACTGGCAAGGGAAGCAGGTAAGATCTTAGAAGTGAAGCCGAAAGAGGAGAGGAAAAAGAAAAAGAAGGGGGAATGGAATAAAGGATTGAGAGTTCGAGTCTGCTTGGATGTAAGTAGACCTCTTGTAATGGGATCGAAAGGAATGCTTGAAGACAGAGCGGAAAATTGGTTTTCGTTTCATTATGAAAACATTCCCCTATTTTGTTACCGGTGTGGTCTACTTGGCCATATTGAAAGAAGCTGTGTAGTGGACAAACAAAACAGAAAATCTTTGGAAGAGCTAGAAGCAAAGTTTGGAAAACAAGATCTAAGCAGTTCGAAGACCCCAGACGGCTGTGGACCTTGGCTAAGGGTGGAAGTGGGGAACGATTCTGATTGTTTCCTGAATGCTGGAATCTGACCAAGAGGGGGCAAAACTGCAGGATTCAGATGGGGCAAAGGAAGACAACGAATCAGATGAAGCTACTCAAGGGGAATCTAAACAAGAAGCACCAAGCCTCAGCATAGTAAAAGCACCGGTTAAAAGGAAATTGTTTGAAGAAGGAGAAGCGATTGGTGCAACATCAACAAATCCTGAAATTTTCAAAGGCAACATAAACGTAATCTTGTCGCCGGTAGCTTTTTTCTGGCGAAGACATGCCGCGTTAGTGGAAGAATGGTTGGATTTCCGAGACTCCAGAGCAGCATCGACAAATCTTACCTTTCCAAGATACAATGTCAAGGAGAAACATCTGGAGACTTTTTCGAGTTTTCACAGTAATAGTAAGTCGATCCTTGCACTCCAAGCCTTATTAGAAACGGAGAGTGAAATAGAGGGGCCAATAAATCTAGAGTTTGCCAGAACTCCAAATTGGGAAACTTCTCGGACAATGAATCTGGGGCTTCTTCGGATGACTTTTTAGAGCCGGGACAGGAGGAAAAAAGAATTAATTTGGACTAGGGTCTAGGGTCTAGGGTCGGATGATTACAATTCAAGAACCAAATCCATTGACGGCCCTAATCCACTCACAAACCTAACTGAGGTGATCCCGCTTGTGAAATCGGTGGGATCGAAAAGAGAAAGGGGAGAGATGTCGGAGAAAAAGGGAGATTTGGAGCAGTAGAAAATGAAAAGGAAGAAAGTGATTGAAGATGTTGATTCTGATGGAATAGAGGAAGAAGTCTTAAAGTTGTTCAACTGTGAATTAAATCAAACGCCTCTGAACGTGAATCTGTTAAACTTTTCATTGCCAGACAAGGTATGCCTTGGTGTCAGTACCTATGGAGACAGAAATATGTTGAAGAGTTGGAAACAGGGATCAAACTATCATAAGAAAAGTGTTGAAGAGTTGGAAACAGAGTTAGATAACTGGCTTAAGAGAAGGAAATTTTGTGGGCCCAAAAATCAAGGATTAATTGGCTAAACCATGGAGACAGAAATACTAGATTCTTTTATAACTCCACAATTAAGAGGAGGGTGAAAAGTAGGACCCTAAAAATAAAAAATGATAATGGTGATTGGATGGAAGGCCAAGATCAAATTAAAAGCATCCATGGAAATCATTTTAAGGGAATCTTTTCTACCTCCTATCCTACAGAAATCCCTCAGGCCCTTGAAGACATTAACCACCAAATCAGTGAGGAAAACAATGAGGTTCTCCAGAAGCAGGTTACAGAAGAGGAGATTAAAGAAGCTCTCTTCCAAATGTCTCCTAGAAAGACCCCTAGACCTAATGGTTTTCCAAATTTCTTTTTCCAAAAATTTTGGGAGTTGACAAAGGAGGATGTAGTGAGAGAGGTAAGGTCTTTCTTTGATGAAGGAATTTTAAATAGATCATTGAATTCCACCTTCATAGCCCTAATCCCCAAAGTTAAGAATCCTGAAGAAGCCTCTCACTTTAAGCCTATTAGTCTGTGTAACACAGTGTATAAAATCATTCCTGATAGAGCAATTACAGATAATATTCTTATAGCTCATGAAGTAATGCACTTCATGTCACATACCATAGCAAAAAATGGCTTTATGACTGTCAAATTAGACATGAGCAAAGCCTATGTTAGAGTGGAATGGGGTTTTTTGAAATCTACCTTGGAAAAAATGGGTTTTGAGAACAAGTGGATCTCCGGGGGTCATGACTTGTGTAACAACAGTGTCGTACCAAATTCTGGTAAATGGATCTCCCTCTAGGAAGTTCTATTCTCAAAGAGGTTTGAGATAGGGTGACCATCTTTCTCCATTTTTCTTCTTTGCAAGAATCAAAATCTGTAAAAGAGCTCCAACTATTTCTCACTTATTTTTTTTGTAGATGATAGCTACATTTTCTCTAAGGTAGATCTTAGTGAAGCAAGCTCTTTGCTGGAGGCCATCTCTTTCTTTCAAAAAGCTTCTGAACAACAGGTGAATTACCAAAAATCTGAAGTTTTTTTTCAGTAAAAATTTGCATCCTAAGCTAAAGAAACTGATTGCAAACTGCATGCATATAAAAAAGGTAGAAAAACCCTCAATTTATTTAGGTTCTTATCCTCTCTTAGGAAGGAAAAATCCCAAGCATTTAAGTATCTTGTTGAAAGATTATCAAATAGAGCAAGGAGCTGGAGGGGATCCCTCTTATCTCAAACAGGCGAGGAAGTGGTCCTTAAATCTGTGATTACGGCAATACCTGCATACTGCATGTCTTGTTTCCTTCTCCCTAGGTCTGTGTGCAATTCTATGGTGAAGAGTCAAAAAGCTTTTTGGTGGGTGGATAGTGAAGGAAAAAAAAGAAAATAAGGTGGGTGAAATGGGACCAAATTAGCCAGAACAAATCAGATGGGGGTCTAGGCTTTAGAGATCCAAACTTGTTCAATCTAGCTCTCCTGGCAAAGCTGGCCTGGAGGCTTTGCTTAGATTCCTCAAGCTTGTGGGCCAGGATTCTGAAGGCAAAGTATTTTGAAAAGACCAACATTCTTCACTCTTCCATGACCAATAGACCTTCCTGGGGGTGGAGAAGCATTGTGGCGGGTAGAGAAGTTTTGAAGGAAGGGATTTGCTGGAAAATTGGAAGGGGCAATGAAGTATATGGGAAGACCCCTGGATTACAGGTTTAGAGGGTTTTAAAATAATGGGGCCTAGACCAAATAATCCTTCTTCCCAAAAGGTAGTTGACTTAATAGATTGAAACAATGGAACATGGGATGAAGATATTGCTCAAAAAATAAGGATCTAGGCCTCCCTACTAATCCTTGACCAGATAAACTAGTATGGACTGGAAATAAAAATGGTTGTTTCACTGTTAGATCTACCTACTCTATTGCAAAAATCCTTTTGGAACTTAATTCGGCTCCTTCCAGCCCCTTAAATGAAGAAAAATCCTTTTAGAACTTAATTTGGAAGATTCCAACTGAACCAAAGATGAAGCTTTTCTTGTGGAAGTCTTGTTTAGGAGGTTTAGCTGTTAAAAAATCCTTGTTGAACAGAGGTATAGGTGACTCAGAAATTGTGAGAGATGTGGCAAGGAGCCCGAAACAACCCCTCATGCTCTCTTGTTGTGTGATAAATGTAGATGCATATGGTTGGGTTCTGGTTTGGGCCACAATCTAGAACACGGAAGAGCTTTCAATACTTTTGGTGAGTGGTTTAAAAATATTGTGCTACCCCTAGGAAAAAGAAACTTGGACCTTTTGGCAAATATAATGCAAACAATGTGGGGAATTTGGAAAGATAGGGAACCTTTTCCTTTTTGAAAACAAAATTATAAGTCCCTACATTGTGCTAACATTCACAAGTCAATAGCGGAGAGATCTCTTCCAATGGTGATGCCCATTGGAAGCCTCCTGACAAAGGTTTCCTCAAGATGAACTCGGATGCTGGTTTTGTCTCAACAAATAAAGCGTCCTTCGGCTTCATTCTGAGAGATCACTGCGGATTTTTCTGGGGTGTAGGTTTTGGTGCAATGAAAGCTTCATCACCTTTGGTAGCTGAAGAAAAAGCAATAAGGGAAGCAGTGTTTTTTGCTGATTTATTTGGAGCTGTCAAACGTAACTTTTGAATCAGACTGTGCTTCTTTGGTTAAAGTTTTTTGTGACAGTAATTCTGAGGTGCAGCCTGAAGTTTTATTTTGTTATCGTGATATCAGGAGGTGGCAGCTTATAAAAAAGAAAATTACAGGTTTCAGTGGTGTTCAAGATTGCTGAATAGTGCTGACCATTCTGCAGCAAGTCGGGGCTTTTACTGTTCTTTTAAATCCAGTTCGTCTGTTCCTTTTAGTATCTCTGAAGTCTTGCTTACTCAAAGAGTTTTCCTCTTCTCTGTAGTTGTTTTTCTTTTGTTTCTGTTTTTCTGTTTCTTTTTCCTTGTTGTTTTGTTGCCTTTTGCCTTTAACGAAAAGCTACTTTAAAAAAAAATAATAATAATAATAATAATAAGAGAAACATAAGAAAGGACAAGGTTGGGACAAAAATCTCCCAAGTCCCGTCATGATAAACAACAGACATATTGGGCTAGAAAGTGAGCCACAGAATTGCATTGTCTCGTTGTGTAAGTGATTGATATAGCATTACAATTACAATATAGAGAATTGTATAAATTCCTGCGGTCAGCAATCGAATTACGGATTTGCCAAGGTGGACGGAGGAAAGCGTCCGACAAGAATTTGATAATGACTTTAGCATCTCCTTGCAAGATGAAGTTTTGAAAATTTGACAGTTGAACCAAATGTACACCTTCCAATAGAGCTTGCTGTGAATCATACCTCCTCAATCTTTGCAATAGCTTCAAGCACTCCATTACCCCCTTCATGGTCACACGCAACTACCTCGAGATTAACATCCCAATGCCATCCGAAATGTTTATATATTTGTTTAACCTCATTGTTAACATTGTATTATCAAATTTAACTTTTTATCACAGACAAATATCCCCTTTATATTCTTCTATAGGCATGTATACAAGTTGGATTAAGTGCTAAACTTGCATTGACGAAACCCCTACAGATTAGACTCCAGTTAATTATATTAATAATTGGATTTTTTATTTAGGTTTTGGTTGGAGAGAATCCGTACTGAATTTGACCCATTAAAGTTGCAGCATTAAAACGTTTATATTATAGGCTTGGTTGAGTATGGATATGTCGGGGCAGGATGGATCCGGTACCCCCTCTTTTATCTAGCCGACTTGAATAGGAATTGCTTTTGATTCGGTTCAATATCAAATATGACTTGTTGACCCAGTACATAATCACCAAGCATTTATTCAAAGTAGGAAGCACAAGATCAAGATCAAACCTACCAAACCGCAGGCTCTTCATGGTATAACCAGTGAGCCTCATGTGCAAATTCAGATTAGCAGAATGTGTAGGTTGTTCAGTGGGCTGTGCCCCATGTATTTTATAACTGGTGTAGAGTGTTATCATTGATTCCACAGCCTGCTGAACAGCTAAAGCATTGAACTAATCTTATCAACGACGTCTGCTTCAATCATAACCTCAACTGTTTGAAGCTTCCCAAAGAAATGTCTGCTTGTGGCTAGAAATTTAGCCGATACTCAACCTGCTAAGCAGATTATTATTGATCATATTATCCAGAAAAGAAAAAAAATATAAAGAACAAAGAACAAAAATCAATGAAATGAACTCAGAGAGAATTTGGGCCTCATTCACCCACTTGATCATTGAAATTTTGAGACTTGAATGAACAAAATGCATGAGGGGAGGGACCAAAAGGATACAATGTGATCTCACCATCCATTTCTATTTATTGCGGTTGGGGGTTGGGGAGGAATAAGGGAGGAAAAGAAACAAGAGAATCAAATATAGAACGCCTCCCTCCCTCAATCCACACAAAATTACAAATGACAAGAAGTCCTCGGTAATATATCATAACGTCTACCATCTTATTGCCATGCCTCTATTGTTCATATGTGGCAAGCATCTCCTCATCTTCAGTACATTAATTCAACATGGGCTCCTAAGCTTCACTGAGGATGAATGCATATAAAAACTGCCAAAGCTGCAGGATTTTTGCACAGACAGTCTTTCGATTTCAAAGTTTCAAACCAAAGATATTTAACTTCAGATTCGAGATCATGGCGCTGCTATAACATACCATATCCAATTGATTACTCCTGCTGTTTCTACCTTGGTTCATATGCCTTAAAGGTTGTACTCTCATCTGATGATGAAGTAGGTAAGATAAAAGATTTGATGGACGTGGTTGGATCCATGATAGTAGAATTTAGAAAAGGAGGTTGCCTTGGCAAAGGAATAGACACACTTTTATCAGTAAGCATCTGAACAACATCAGGCATGAATGGTCTCAAAGAAACTGAAGCTTGTGTACAAAGAAGTCCAATTTGGAGCACATCTGATGCTTCCTTCACTGGAAAATCATCTTTCAGGCATGGGTCAACACATTCTGGCAGTGTATTAGATTGGAAATGCTTCCAAACCTGAGATCATAATGAACAATTTGACTAAATGGAAGGAACGCTTTATGCCACTACATACATGTAAGAGCAAGAAGGAATATGAGATAGACTGAATGTTGTCCAAATAAGAATATGAATCTTACTCTTTGTAGAACAGAACCAGTCTCCTGTACGAAAATCGTGTTCTTTCTACCACATACAATCTCAAGGACCAGCACCCCAAAACTATAAACATCTGCCTTTTCTGTTAGCTGCCCTCGAACAAGATATTCAGGAGCCATGTACCCGCTGCACCAAGAAGACACTTAATAATAGACTTGTAGAAATACTTCCAAAAGACAACAGAGAAGAAAAAAAATGGATACCTAGAAGCAAGTATGTTTAGTCAAATACTTATCAAAACGTAAACAGTAACTGAAACTTCATGGAGAGATAAATGAGTATTTGGGTCAGTGGACGCCTCACCCTGTATCGGGTTCCTGCTGTTATACACATGTAGAAATTTCTTTACCAACACAAAAAAGGGAGAAAATATATTGTCATTGTCAATGGGTTTATTTCAAAATCAGTGAAGAAAGTTCCGGACAAGTCAACCACTAGAACTGATACTTGATATTAGACAGCATTAAGATCTCCATTAGAACAATGATGCTAAATCATTAAATTCTATACTACAAAATAAATGCACGTTGGTTTGTAGTTCAATAAATCCTGAACCAATAAAAAAGTGTGGCATGTGCACTCAATGTGTAGAGAAAGGAAGAAAAAAGACATGTATTCTTGTCTATAGAGTAAAAAAATACAAGTTTAGCACAGCTAATTATTTCTGACTACTTATTAGAATCCATGATTCTTTTCTCTATACAAGAATCTTTAACTAAAAGAGCTAATGAGAAACTGCTTATTGTATTATTAAAGGACAACCATTGTCTTCACTCTACATTAATTGCTAGAGTTACTAATATCCTTACGTAGATATATTGCATGGACTTCATGAGAATGATAGAGAAAATTTACTGATAGATGAGCTCTTTCTTACAGTGTCCCTGCGATTCCAGTGCTAATGTGAGTTTTATCAGCTCCAAAGCATCGAGCCAGTCCAAAATCAGCAATTTTTGCAGTCAGATTCTCATCAAGGAGAATGTTGCTACTTTTAATGTCCCTGTGGATTATTCTTGTTTGAGAACCTTGATGTAGATATGCAAGTCCTTCTGCTATCCCAACAATAATATTAAACCTCTGCCGCCAACTTATCATTTGGGTCTGGTTATCATCTGTGTGCAAGAAAGAAATATACAGATCATATCTCATTTATTTCCATTTGTAATGAATATATATTGTCCACTTATAGTCATATTAATAAGTTTAATCTAGGAATTTGAAGATGTTAATTCTGGAATTCTCAAGCAGTGTAAACTTGTTTGAAATTCAATAGCAAAGGAAACCAGAAATTTAAGTAAAGAAACTTAAAATTGGGTATTGAGAAATGAGAGATTTGCAACTGGCTCTGCCAGAGGACTTACCAAAAAGGATTTGGTCAAGGCTTTTATTTGGCACAAACTCATAGACTAGAAGACTCTCTGGGCCTTCAATGCTACAACCCAAGAGTTTTACAAGGTTCTTGTGCTGAATCCCACCGATCAAGTTTACTTCATTGAAGAATTCATCCACCCATTGCCTGGTGTTAAAAAACAACCTCTTAACAGCTATGACCCTTCCATCAGGAAGAGTCCCCTTGAATACTGAACCAGCTCCTCCTTGGCCTATTTTATTTGAGAGATTGAAAAAGTCTGTAGCCACTTCCAGTGTCTCATACTTGAAGTTCAAATTAGACTTATTCACAGTGGATGCAAACCTACCGAGGTTACTCTTTTCTATAGGATGCAAGAGAAGACAACTATATCAGAACCCTCAATAGATAAGATGGAGAACCACAAAATCTAATCGAGTCAATTTATGTTTCTTTTACAGTTATTAATAACATTGCTATTATTGGAGTTGTACCTTTTCTGCTCTTTAATATTCTTCTGTAGCCGACCCAAGAGCCAAAAAGAATAAGCACAGAGAGGGCAATTGCTGCCAAAGTAATTGCAACAATAAGACCTGTATCAGCTGAGCCTGAAACAACAAGAAACAGAGAAGAAAATCAAATGAACTTATAGATAATGTTAACCAGCAACCACATGTCCAAATCCTCATATTCCACCAGTAATAATAACTAGAAGTATAGCTGAGTAGCTAAATGCAAGAACCAACACAACCACATCATCCTGGGCCAGTGCAAAGCAGGGAAGAACAGATTCCTCTTCATCAGAAACACAGAAACCATGAACTCCAGAAATACAAAAGTCATGATAACACCTAAGACACAGATATACGAAGATGCAGCATTATTTCATTAATCGATTTAAAGATTCATATAGTTAGAGTTTTACAGGATTGAGTAATTTACTATTCTGTCCCTTTTCTATCAGAGAAAAAAGAAAACAACAATAATATACACTACACTATAATAGCACTGTAAGACACATTAAACCAGCACAACAACCCAACATCCCCGTGAAATATGGAAAAAGAAAAAAAAAATCAGACTAAAGTATTAACAGTAGAAACTAGATTTGATCCTAAAGTTAAAGAAAAAACAAAAAGAAGATGCAAATTTGGAATACATCCCCATACAGAAAAGGGAGGAGAGAGAGAGCCCAAACTGTGGAGCATCAAGAACAACCAAAACCCAGAACTCAATTTACTTCATGCGACAACATATTTAAAACTAAAAACACACACACAAGAAGAAAAACCATTCTTACCTGCTGTATGCATTTCTGAAAAGTCGTTATAAAACTTCTCCGTTGAGTACCTCAAATAGCACCCGGCGTTCAAAGCCCTCCCTTGACTTGCCGGAGCACACCCTCTGATTGCACTCCCCCCCTTCTGCAAGCACTGCCTACATCCGTTTTTGCTCAGCGTCTTCCAACATTGCGCCAAGGCGTAAACCGAAAAGATTCTATTTTTCACCTCCGTCACTCCAAATCCGTCGTTCAACAATGCAATATCCGTTACATTGATGATCGCTTGCCCGACTTTATTTGCAAACTCCAATTTCATGTCATTTTTGAGGATACCACCATCGGTTGAACCACAAACCACTTTGTCGTGTTGAGGATCGAGGGATTCGTTGTAAAAATTGTAAGTGTCATAACGGAGGAAACACCCATCCAAAAACATTCGACCTGAGTTGGCGGGAAGGCAGCTGGGAAGCTTAGTTCGGCTCTCGGCGAAGCAGAGGAGGCAGTCAGTCAGGGAGAGGTCGCCGTGGCATTGAGCTAGGCCGTATATAGAGGGAGAGTTGCTGCTGGGAGAAGAGGAGGTGGTTTGGGTTCCCCAACGTTGGACATTGACGCGTTGAGCAAGACCTTCCATTTCTTTAACGAAAATCGGGACGAAATTGGTGCCCGTCTGGCTCCGAGAGGATCCGCAAAGTAGGGCAGCTCGGGAGATTCGTGGATCGGAAAGGGAGGGTGAGAAGAAGAATGAGAGAGCGAAGAAGAAGACTATGAGATGTCGAAGCATTAGGAACGAGAAAATTGTTCAACTTCAATTGGGTTTCTTGAATTTCGTTATTTTTTCGTTTAGATGCTGTGTAGCAGGAGAAAAAGATAACAGGACAGATGAATGGATATCCAAACTGGTAAGTTTATATTTCCATGAAACATCTCTCTCTCCTGCTGTTTCTCTCTCTTATTTCTGAAGGATTTATTTCTTTTTTTTTCCAGATTACCCTTATTTCTATTCTAATTGAGATTAGGTTGCATACAGTTGGTGAGGCAGGGAGGGAGGGAAAGAAGGTGGGATGGACTATTACTTGGTTGATATTTTGACTCAAAAAGAGAGAGAGATGCTTCAGCCTCCAATCTCTGGTTACAACTTGGAAGTTCAGTGCAGAGATTGAATTTCGGTTGTAGCCAAATGATGGCGGTTCTTTGACTGTTTGTAGCAGAGACGTGAGATAAAATGGGTTTGGGCCTTGGTGGATGGGGTACCCCTGTTAGGATGGAGCGCAACTGACGGCGACGAAATCGTCGGAGGCATCTTTGTGAGGTAGGTGAGTGGTGAGGTTAATTAAATTATTCTCCCAGCAGCAGGCACCGCTCCAAAAGTCCAAACTGGACAAAACTCCATCAACTATCCCACAATTACTTGAACTATTCACATAGTTTCGGAATTTCATTAAAGTATCCTGAATTTTTAGAATCTATTTAAAATATCTATGAATTTTCAAAAGTATGGCAAATACTACCCTTATGTTAGTCATCCGGCACGTTCCATTTACATGTAACATCGCGTGAGCCTTTTCTTAAGACCCGTTTGGCGCATCTTTTTTGAAAGATGTTTTGATAATTCTGATAGTTAAAAGATGTATTGAGATTTTGTATGAAGATCTGAGTATTTTGAAACATGTTTGGCAGATGCGTGTCTTTTGTGTAAAAATAGAACGCGAAAGATGTGAGAAACTTCATTTAGAGTTTCTCGAAATCAGCCTAGAATGAGCTTTTTGTGTCTTTTTGGCATTCCATCTTTTGACTATTAGATCTTTCGTGCACCAAACGAAAATAGACCAAAAATCCGTTTTCCCAACATGTAAACTAGGGCTGTTCACGGGTTGGGTTGGGTCAGTTTAATGCGGTTTTTCCAACCGACCCAACCTGGTCAGGTTACCTGACATAGAAACCGAAACCGAAACCGACCCAGTGTTAAGCAAAACCGACCTGGTCGGTTTGAGTCGGGTTGGGTCGGTTTCGGTTCTAAGTTCATCCCTATGATAAAATCTTGCTAATTTTAAAAACAGTCATAAAGTGAACATCATTTCAGTCATCTCCTATGATAAAATTTAAATGAAAAGTTAATCACAAAAGTTGTTCATTAATCACTATTCACTAATCCAAAGTTTCTTGCAACCATTCAAAAACTAGGTGGCCTAATGGGCTTTGGAACTTCATGTTTGAACTAGGAACTAAGTCGGTTCAGTTCAGGTCGATTTTTGGTTTTCTTGTATGAAAACCGAAACCGACCCGAATCATCGATTTAAGAATTTGCACAACCCGAAACCGATCCGTACTGATGAAAACCCGACCAACTCAGATTGGGTCGGTTTGGATTGGTGGGTTTGAGCCTTCTTATGAACAGCCCTAATGTAAACAACCAAAAGACTGCACAGGCATACTAAACGGGCCCTTAATTTTTGAAAACCCAATTTTTCCCTCACCACCGACCTTAGTACCTTATCCATTTAAGGCCTTAAAAGGATTAACCCTAACCGATTATATGATTTGGGTTCTCAAAATTTGAAGAATAATCGAGGGTAAAAAAGATTTCTTTCTTTTTATCTCATTTAAAGATAAAATGTAACCAAAATTGAATTTCTAAAAGTTCAAGGGTAATTTAAACAAGTTGTGAAGTTTTAAGAAATTGTGAAATAGTTCAGGGGGGTACTTCAAATAATTAATTCGTCCAAAAATTAAATGACTGCATACGTGTAATGTACCAGTTTCCAGATTAATTTATGTATAGATGCTGCAGACTGCAGTTGGGGGAATTCTGCATCGTATGTATCCGTACTTCTCCGATAAGTTTATGATGTCTGAAAAGGTATGATATCGAAGAGTGAACGTCCTTTGCGTTTGCGGAACCAAATCATGAAACAACAACAATATCGGTATGTGTACGTAAGTGACCGGTGTGAAGCGGCCTTAACTGGGCATGGGTGCGTTATATATGATTGGGTTTCTATTAAGGGCAAATTTTGTGGTTTAATATTAATAAAAGAATATAATTAAAAAAATTTAAAAAATAGGTTAACTTTTTAAAAATAATATCAATAAAGGGTAATAATACTGTTCATCTTCTTCTTCTTGCCTTTTGTTCATCAAAGCCACCACCCGCCGCCGCCTTCACCTTCGACAACATTGCTGGAGGTGGCCGGAGGTAGAGGTGGCGACGACGGCAATGACACTAGTGGTTTCTCTGTCCAACGCCGCCACCTCTGCCTCTACCTCTAGCAACGTTGTCGAAAATGGGTGGAGACAGAGGTGGCGGGCAGAGGAATAACCACCAGCATCGTCGTCGCCACCTCTGCCTCCAGCCACCTCCGACAATGTTGCCGGAGTCAAGAGGCAGAGGTGGGCAGAGGCTTTGGCGGGCGACAACGAACGGTGGTGGCGAACGACGGCTTTGGTGAACAAATGACAAGAAGAAAAAGATGAACGGTATTTTTGTTCTTTATTGATATTATTTTTAAAAAATTAACCTATTTTTAAAATTTTTTTAAATATATTACTTTTATTAATATTAAACCCCAAAAATTACCCTTATATGCTATTACCCTATATGATCCATGATTCATGACTCATGAAAGGAGATGATGAATCCCGACGGACCCACCCCATCCATTTCCATCGTCTCAGACTCTCAATAGTGGGCCAGTGGTTGGCTGGCTGGCTACACCTTCCTTAGACTGAAAAAATGTCATCAGTTGGGTTGGGCCCTTTAGTGCTTATGAAGAGGTCTTTTATTCAAAATCCATATATAATATTAAGTCATTATATTTGTTAATTGATAAGGCCAAACTGACTCAATTAATAACTCATTTAGGAGGTTTCAAGCTACCTTGGTAAGATTAATTACTATGTTATCCAATATTTTATCATTTAATTAATTTATTCACTGAAGTTTCATTAATCTCATCCATTTCATCTGTTTTCAAACAGCCCCCAGAGATTCATTCGTCCAAATATATTGACTTTCGTTTATTTGACTATATATGTAAAATCTAGAACAACGTGATTGACAAGTGAATCCTCTAGAAAATGGAAAGCAATTTGAGTTTCTATTGACGTCAGAGCGCTATTTGGCCAAAGTTTTTCCACATGTTAATTGGAGTGATGTGGCAAGTTATGTGGACCCATCTGATGAGGTAGCAGGATTCATGTGTTCATCACTAATTGGCTCGAGTCTTTTGTCATTTCGGCCACCAATTTAATTTCATGTTAATAAAACAAAATAAAATAAAGAAAGAAAGAAACAAACAAGTTTCTTCTGTGTTAAGACTTTAGAGTCATAGCTTGCGTGTTTGGGGTTTGAAAGAAAAAGTAGAGAAATGAAGATAAAGGTAAGGAAACTTACTGCCTTAAGGTCTTGACAGTGTATTTGACTTCATAAAGATTGTATGAATCTTTTAACCTTTCTAGCTGTGCTATTTTGATTGTTTTCTTTCCCTTTTTTTTTTTTTGTTGAAACCTCAGGCTTAACTACTTTGATAGCTAAATAGTCAATGAATCCTATATAAAATAATAAATATAATATTGTGGTCTATCTTCTGTTAATTAATAATTAATTTGTTTATATTATAGCATATTAAATCTAATCACCTTATATAAAAAGCAGAATAAAAACTTAGACGAGTCATGATTTCTCAAGGTACTTTTGCCCATTCAGTTATTGTTTATTCGTCTCAATATATTTTCCTTTGAAGTAAATAATCAATAGATATTATAATTGATTATTATTACCAATTTTTTGTTGTACTTCTGCTTTAAAAAGCTAAAAGCACACTTAAAGGTTGGGTTGTCTGATTTAAAGAATTTCAATTATATTTGGCTCAGCTTAGGGTTTGGGCCCATTAAAAAGTTGACAAATTTCTAACCCAACCCAAGTTGCGCCATTTAGAAAATACAATTTTTTTCATTTGATATTTTCTACTGAAAACTAGTATTTAATGTATGAATTAAAAAAAAGATGATGATATGAACCGATTTAAATGAAAATTTTGAAGACAAAGCTTTGATGGGTGTAATTGAGCCGAGTATAAGGCTGTTTAAGTTCGAACTAACTCAAAACTTGAAATTCAACTTGAGCTTGATTGAGTTTCAAGTTTCTAGCTCAGACTCGACTCTTGTCAATACTTCAAGCTATTCGAGCTTGGTTAGACTCAAGCCAGTTATAAATAAATTACTATTAAAAATTATATATATTAAAAAATTATAGATAAATTACTATTATAAATATTATAAAGGAAATATATTATGAAAATTGATTATAATTTTATTTGTATTTATATTATAAACATAAATACATTAAAAATAGTATTTTATTATGAACTTGATTAGGCTTGCGAACCACTTGAGCCAAGAACTGCAGAAGCTCAAACTTTTGAGTCAAGCTTGACTCGAACTTTATTACTTTAAGCTGAGTTTGAGTATTTAGCCAGTTGAGACTGACTAGCTCACAGGGCTTAGCAAAAATTGCATTATTGATGTAGTAGCAACTAGCAAATTGATGCACTTGATTTCTGCAACTTAACTATCTTGCATTCATTAATATTGTCTGGATGTAAAATCGAGATCTCAACTTAAAATTTGCTTACTTTTCTTTGATCCAAATTTCATAAAATATACATTCTTACTATCATGTGCAACCAATCACACCTTTTGCTGCAGGGAAGGTTTTGCCTGGTTTTTAATATCAAATGATGCCTACAGTTTATAGCAAATGCCCAGCTTCTTAAGTCTCACTTATTCCCATTCTATCAATATATATATATATATATATATATCCAGACAAAAAAGGGCTTATTTATAAAAAAGTTAAAAAAAGGCTTGTTTTGGTTTATTGTCGATCAACGAGGGCTGTTATCCAATCCAACGACGACTGGCATTGGATGAAGGCCTTTGGTCAAATAGAAAATAGGGGCTATTTTGTCAAAAAAATAAAAAAGGGTATAAGAATCACATTCCTGGGGAGCATATGGGGGATTCCTATTTTACCTAGAATGGAAATCCCATTTTGATCAACCAAATGGTTGGAATCGGAATGGGCTATTCCATTCCAATTCCGATTCCAGGTGCCTATCCCTTGAGTTCACATCTCCCCCCCACAACACCTCATAGCACATTCCCACCGTGTGTATTGGGAATATTTCCCGATGATGACTGATATTATCATCGGGAGATATTGCCAATACACAAAGGGGATGTGCTGTGGGGCGGAGATGTGATCATTTATTCCTTATTCCTTGTGCACCTTGAAAATGACTAGAAAACATGATGTTTCGTAAATAGGCCTTATCCATGTGGCCTTCGATTCGTTCCTAGAAGGCTCCCT